GACTAATAATTGTCCTGCTGACAGATTTTCCAATCTGAGCGTGGATTTGTTCAGTTCAACTGCTTGCTCGGCCTGTTTGTGTCTTGTTAGGTTCGTCTTACTCTTTTTGATTTCGATGATGGACTGGACATTGCACCTTGAGGCATTTATAGCTTGGGATATTACGTATCTAACATCTTCACATTTTTTCTCTGAACTGCTTGTTCCATGACCTGCTTGTTATTTTGTTTATTCATCAATAACAAACCTCAAAGCTCTTCACAGAACTGCTCTAATTATACAGATATTAAATCACACACGTCATGAATGCATTAATTCGGTGGCTTCTGATTTGACTGGGTTTTGTGAATAAAAATGTACACCACACTTCTCATATTTTTCTTGTAATATAATAAATGTAAACATGTATTTTTTTCTCGTTCCACTTCATAATTCTATTTATCTTCCAAGAATTGCTAATTTTCTAATTAAAAGGGTCAGTGCAAAACAGGAAGAAGAAGGCTAAGGAAGAATAAACAGACTGCAAATAGTGGGAATTAAAGCCCTCTGCTATCTCTTTCTCTCTCAGTATGTCTTTCCAAACCCTTGAACTGCCTTTTTACTCCTTCTACACAGTGGCTCTGCACTCGCTTGTCCTTGCAGACAGCCCTCAGGCCTGGACAAACAGGAAACACTTAGTGTTATCAGCTCACGCTTTGTGTGTCCTAATGAGCATCAGGCTAAGGACAGAAAGGGAACACACACCCGATTCTAATGTAAACAAACTCTGGAGTACAAAAAGGAGAAAGACAGGGATAAACTTGAAATAGAGGCACGAGGAGGGAAAGAAAGAACAAGAGGAAACAGAACTGACAGCAGCAGAGGAAGGGGATTTTACTTCCTTCTGGTAAACTCTGATCTGAAGTTAGCTTCTAAGGATATGAGGTTTAAAGGATAGACAACTGAGAAATAACTATTGTTAAATCCCATTTTTTTAGTTGAAAACTGTGCCAGCATATTATATATTTTTTCATCAGCCTCCCAGCGATGACACTTGCTTTGTATGTGGCCGAAAGTGGAGCAGTGCATTCCGCTCCACTTAAAACTGTCCACTGCAATGTAGCTGGGTGCTGTCAACGTCATTCTGCTCCGACCTGACTGTCCGTTATTTCTTTTGTTCAGGAAGGTCACGTGGTCATACAACTGTGTTCTTCAGTTTTTCCCTGTAAGTGCTTCTGTTGAGGATTTCATCAGGGTTTTGACTTTTATGTCAAACTAGTTTTAAAGGAAATAAATTTGATGCCCAAACCTTATTCTGATTTATCACAGCTTCTAATAAACTAATACTTAAAAATATAGAAAGAGAAAACATGCGATATAAACATGACATAAAAAGTAGAACTGTAGAGCACACATTAGGAAATTAGGCTGGTTTTCCTTTCTATAGATTATCTTACACTGTTTGTAGATATTAAAAATCAATTTCATAAAAAAAGGGACTGCTACCTCCCCATATAAGTCATCATGGATGTTTGGAAGAGGTGTATTCTTATGAATGGACAGCAAACGGTAGCAAATGTTGCTGAGGAACATAGTACTGCTAGTGTTATTTATGTATGAAGTAATATTTCCAGTGTAGTATTGCTAATAGACTGGATTTTAATTAACATTGAAGTACTTGCACAATTTTGTGTTTGGCTCACTCTTTAAATTAATAAGTCAGAGTATTATCACTGTTTTATGTTAGCAATTTTTGCTGCTTAAGAGATTTAAATAATAAGACTAAAGTTCTAATGGCATACTTAGCTCCATTTTTACTTGTTAAACATAATCGATATAATTCACATCACTTGAAATTCAATAGGCATGACTGAATTTTTCCCAAAAATGACCATTTGAGCAGAGGACCTCTAGGGGCGCTGACGATTTATGACTTATTGGTTGAAATCAACTTCACAAGCAAGAAAAGTTTATTTTAAGGGATCGCTTGTGGAAATGAGAAGATTAAGATTGATTTATTCCTGACAGGGTTATGCAAACATTACAGGATCAGATGTAGTATTAAAGGATATCAGTACAGTTTATTGGTTTGAGCCATGAAGGCACACACCAGTTAGGATTAAGGAATAAATGTTAGACAAGTTTTAGGTTGAGGGAATAATGAGTATAAATTGACAATGCCTAATGTAACTCCCTGTGTTAATTAGTCTGTCGCTTATGGGGGTGTGTTTATTTTGACACCATTTCCGGATCATAAAGCCACTCAATTACAGCCGTTGGATCTGCCCTTCCTGGTATCCACAAAACAAGATAAGGGGGTGTTGATTTCTGTTGAACAAAGGCTGCATATTTTTCATTTTGAGCAAATGAATATTGTAAACAAAGTCCCTTTGATGTTTCTTTATTTATGTCCCACAGGATATACTTCAGATGTCCACATTTCATTCAGATTTCTTTATTCTTATAGAAACTTTCACTATTTTAGTGAAACATGCCCTCTGTAGTAAATGAAAAACACATGACTGAAAAAATCACGGGGCTCTTTATTTATTTATTTATTTATTTTTACAAGCAGACAGAGTAAGAAAATAAGAAGAAAAGAAACCTGTACTCCTTAAGGAGGTGTAGCAAGGATGTTTCCCACTGTGTTGCATTTCATTGCCTGCCATTCATTGTTACAGATCCTTCTTTTGGGGGGGGGGTTATTTAGAAAAGTGCAAGTTTTTTTTCTGTTGAGGTCTAGCTTAGTTTTTTGGTGGTATTGAAACTCCGCTTTTGCCAACAGGGCGTCAACCAGTCTACTCTTTTAGTGTAATTTCACAAAGTTAGAGCATACAGAGAGAAAAAGCTTTGTACAAAATCTCTTTGGATTTCTCAGCCACCTCCTGTATTTTATTCCCTCAAACTCACCCCACATATTTTCTGTATCATTTAGGTGTAGAAACTGAGATGAGGACAGAAGAAGATTGTTTTTATATCTAATAAATAATTTCTATGTCAAGTTGTTCATCAACATGAAAAACACAGTGAATACCCACTTTTAATTTAAGTGTAATACGTAAAATGACAATTGACCTTAAAAAAGCTACATCTGTTCACTTGCTTTCTCTCTAAATACTAAATTTATCAGATTAATTTGTGCATGGAAATTCATGCTTTTATTTTGGTGGAGATTTTTCCTGGGGAGAGGCCAGTCAGCTTGTCATTGCGATAAAGCTGCAGTCATTTTCATTGATTATGAAAATGTACTCAAGTATCTGTTTTCCTTTGTAATTTGAGAAGAATGATGCTTGCTCACACAGACTGTTGGGAGAAACAAGCCCACAGCATCACAGATCCTCCTCTGTGGATATGGGACACTTTTCCATATATCTATGCTTTTTTTTTTTTTTTTTTTTTACACCATATCCATTGTTGCTGTATAGCTCTCTAAACTTGAGACTCTTATATTCAAAACTTGAAAATTCTCCTCTGCAAGCCATATTTTTAATTCCAGTATTCATGTCACTTTTCCATGTTAGTGACTTTGTGTCTTTGGCAGCAGAGGTCAGTGGTGGTCACCCCAGCTGTCCCAGTGATTGAGGGGATTTTTATAGCCCTCCAGTTTCCACCAGCTATGCAAAATGTACTGCAGTGATCGCACTTGGGTGTTTGCCCTACAGGCTAGTTACACCCTCTCGTGATAACTTTACATTTTGCTATTTCTAAAATGAGCTTTAGCACATGCATCAATGGAGCCAGAGCTCCACCAGCTTCCATGTGTAGGTCAGTGGGCTATCAGGTCAGATACTAAGACTGGACTGCAGACTAATACGCACAGGTGGCTGCAGGGAGAGCTGACTAATGAACTTATGTTGCCAAGTCAGTGTGGGCCAAGGGTTCAGTTTTCCTTCTTTTCCAACCTGCTTTCATAAAGTACTTCAAATTGAGTTTCTCTTTTATTCACTTAGGTCTCCAAATTATTTTGTATACTGTTTTCTATGCCAAATCTCTGCTCTGTAGTATTTTATTCCAACAAACTTCATTTGAGTGTGAGATGTGAATGAGGTCATTCTTAAAGCTTTCCAGTCGATGACTTGTTTTAGTGTTAATGGCCTGTCAGTGACGCATTATGTGGCCATTTGGTTTGTGTATGTTGTTGCTCAGAGCTCATTCTTTCTGGAACTTTTCCTAGTGTGTGCTCACGATATGAAAACAAATTGTGTGTATTTGTGTGTACATGCAAAAGCAGAGCGAAATAACATTTTGTTCTCTCAAAGAATGATTCCTCGGGTTTTGGATTTCTTAGCCTTTCAGATGTTCTTCAGATTTATTTAGATTTTCAGATGTTTAAATCACAGTGACAGATTGTCAGAGCTTCCAAGGAAGTTAAAATAGAGGTAGGAAAAAACCAATGAATTAAAGAACCCAATTGTCATACAGCAACCTACTCATTATTTCTTAAAAACCTGCAAATTAATGAATTCTCAATACAGTGGCATATAATAATAGCATTTTATGCATAAGCAATATTTTGAATTGGAATTAAATTGTAGATTGTTTTGATAGTGCCACAGTTATTAGCATTCCTTGTAACTGAAGCATTTTTTTATTGAAGTTCTTAAAGTTTATCAGAGTATAAAGTTCAGAATTTCCCAACTTTAACATTAACCCTATTTAAAATACAAGAAAAGATGTCATTCAATATTGGCATATGTTTGTTGATATTTGAGGTAGAAAATATACGGTAAAATATTTGTGTGAAAATAATAATTGGGAAGCTCTTCTGCAATATAAACGACAGTGTGACATGAGCTTCTGAAAAACTTTCTGAGCAACTTTGATCCTTGTTCATTTCCCAGGTCAACATGACCTATTTTGTGAAATTCTTGTTTTCTCAAACTTAGTCATGTGGAGTCCTACATCATTTTCTCTTCCACTTAATACATTCTGTTTTTTGTATTTTTATTTTATTTTGTAAATACTGTATTTTTATGTATTATTCTGGTGGCTTATCGTCTTTCTTTCAAATTGTCCTTTAGGTAAACGAGTGGAACAAAAACGACGAGCGCCTGCTTGCTGCTGTGGAGCATGGCGAGGTGGACAAAGTTGTGTCCCTTCTCACTAAGAAAGGTGCCAATGCTGCGAAGCTGGACGGCGAGGGGAAATCAGCGTAAGCTTTCTTTTGATCATTTGCTTAGGTTTGATTTTGTTTGTCCTTTTAAGAAATCAACTCAGGAATCTCATTATACCAGGAAAAACATACCGCTATGTTTTAATGACTGTCTAATTAATGCACAAGAATCCCATTCTATTTTTTTTCTCATAGAAAGGAATTCTTCAGAGGGAATCATTTACATAATAAAAGACAGGGAGGGATTTGTGAAGAATGAGCATACAATGCTGAACTCAGCCTCGAAGAACTATCTGGAAGTCCTTTGGACTCAAGACTCTCAGTCTGTTTTTTTTTTTTTTTTTTTGTGTGTTTTTCTTTTTAATTAAGGAGTCAACAGAAATCTGCATTTCCAAGGTCACTAGCTTATGAAACCGCTTTCATGCTCCAACACACAACATGAAAAATGAATGAGCATCTCTAAAAATATGTCTTGAAACATCGGCCTTCATCCAGCTTACATTGCAGTATCAGGGAAGCTTGTTGCCTCGGCACTTGAGTTTGTTGATGACACAGAGCCGAGGTGTTCATATTTGACCTCTTTTTTTTTTCTTTCCTGCAGCGTGCTGAGCAGTTCACACAGAGCTAGGTGCATGGAAACAGGATCAGATGCAGTGAGAAACAAATATGCAGATTTTCATGAGCCGCTGCAAACACACAGCCTTTTCATTTCATGGCCAGCACTAATCCTTGACCTTTTGTCTATATCCGCTCAAACGGATGTACACTCACAATTTTGATACATCAACATTGATTGCGATGGTTTTGAACTGAACTTCTTTACAGATCACATAAACAGCATCTCTATGGTAATAGAACCTATTTGTAAGGCAAGCAGAGCTTGTTGTGTGCTTCTTTGTGTGTGTGCACATCCTAAGGCGAGGCAGGGCATGCACACTGGTTGTTTATTTCATTTTGCTCACAGAGGTGGAAGGGAATTGTATTGATTGACCTCTGCATATGTATGCCTCACATATTGCTTGACAGTTATCATTCATGGGCACGAGGCAGTATTTTAAAACTATCATTGGTCCAAAGAAACCCAGTGGAACCAGACCGTCAAAACTGTAGGTACACAGAAATTGTTAGTAGAATGTTTCCATATTGTTACAAATACCTCTCCTTTGTATTTCCTAAAACAGTGAAAGTACTTATTGATGCAACACACTAGTGAAACTTAATCCACTTATTTAAACCTAAAGATTTAATGTTGTAATGTGAGAGGTACTCACATGTGTTTTCTTTTAAATAACCTTCAATTAAAAAATGAAATCTGGTTCTTGAAGGTGTTCTACAAAATCTCTAAAGTTGAGGAAAATGCACTGGAGATTCATCAGAGGGGTATTCACGTCTGTTAACATGGAGAAAATGGCATAACATCTGAGAGGCATTAAGCGCTGATGATTTTAGGCTTTTCTTGTTAACTGAGCTCTTCTAAGACATTAATGCAGCTGAGCCACTGCTTTATCATTTTATCTTTGCTGCCAGGACTGCCAGCCTGCTTATCTGTGTACTGAGCTAGTGAGGTTTCTTTCTAGTCTGTCAAAAGCAGAAGCCCAGCTTTGTCCCACTTATGGGTCTACTTGGTTTGTATGAGCTGGCAGTTGTGAACGATCTATGCTGCTGTCAATGAAACAAAAATAAACAGGAATTAGGTTGGAGCGAGTTTGTTGTGAAATCTGCTAGGAGTTGCATGGCCCAGCCAGTGACACATCATAAATAAACCTGCAGCAGCTGGCCAGGTGACTCCGCCTCCTCCATATTGAGACATCTTTTATCTTCAACACACCATTGTTTCCAATGTCAGTTAAAAACACTGAACATCTGCAGTTTTGTCCAGGGTGGCACAAAATAAGACTTTTCCAGCAGTAAGAGCAATCACCATAGAGATCCCTATTTCATAGGCTTCTATTAATCACTTCGCATAGAAAATGAACAGACCTACCAAATCTATTCCTTTTAGGCCAACATTTTTCATAACAAAGAGCCATACATGACAGTATTTTTTTTACTGGTTAAAATCCATTCACGGTGTCTTCTCCATCCACTGTATTGTGACGTTGCTAGGTGTATTAGCGTCCCTGATCTGTGGCTCATCCTTACAGCCACACAACTGTGTTAACGTTCTTTTCATAAAAAACATGTTGCATCTCAGCATAAATTCTCAATACATTCTGAATGAATGCTATTATTTGGGTATTCCTCATTACCTTGATTTCAAGAAACCATTCAATAATTGTGTTTTTCTCTTGTTTTTGTTGTTGTGTTTTTTAGTAAATGTCAGTATCTTAATTTATTAAATTTGGCTTCATGGCTTCATGGACTAGCAATAAGATATCTTATTGTAAGAAACAGGATGAAAAATCTTTGTTCTAAAAGCTAAAGAGTGGGTTTCTAATTTAGACAAGTTGGAAAAAGCAAGATGATACTTTAAAGTTCAAAGAATTACTGATTCATTTTCTCTATCAAATAAAGCCACAGACTGAAGACAAGATGTCATATATATATATATATATATAAAACTAATTACAATTTGTATATTTTTAAATTAAGTCAGGCAATATGCATGTTTTTAAGAATTCCTTATTCTCTTTACACTGAATCTACAGTAACCAGAGTACTGCAGTCGATATGATTTCCATATGATGACTGAGAAATGTTTTGGTTCTGTTTCTACTGACAGCCGCTTCCCTGACGCTTACCTCATGTGTGTAAAACCGGCACCAAGCTGCATTGCTCACCGGCACGTGGCTGTAATGTGGTCCGTACCGTGGCTGAGACGTGCAGCTGCTGTAGATTCTGTTAGACGCGAATAGAAATAAAAATCGCAATGTTCCTTACGGAACATCAGACTTTTGTGTTACAAATGAGGTGTCATGTAAACATACTTGTTGTAATTCTGTAACTAATTTGTTCCTCGCGTTGGATTTGTGAACAGACTTCATGTAGCAGCTGCTCGTGGCCTAACAGAATGCCTCGCTGTGATGTTGGCTCATGGAGCTGACCTCTCAGTCACAGATGCTGCTGGTATGTACTGTAGTCACAAGTTACATTCTTGTAACTGTAGAAGAAAACTCTTAGAAAGAATTCACATTATTATCTCTATAATTAATTAATTCTGTCTTAACTAAAACATTTTCATGACTCTTTGTTAAGGTTTTACTCCCTTACACCTGGTTGCCAAAAACAATCATCTGGAATGTTGCAGGAGGCTTATTCAGGTAATGTTTAAAAGCCAAGGTTTTTTTTTGCTTTTAAGAAAACATAGTTTGTCGTAGAATAATAATGTTTATGACCTAGACTAAATTTATGTAATAAACCCTTTAAAACATTGTGTCAGAACAATTTCAGATTTGTCAATGGGTGTTTGGTGTGTGCTTAAAAACAAATTGAGCTTTATAACACTTTGCAAAAGTATTCGAACCAACTGTTTACCCTTTTTTCATATTATAGAATCAAATTTCTGTTTATTTTATTCAAATTTTCAACACAAAGTGGTGCATATTTATAAAGTATAATAAGTGAAGCATGGTTTTACAACTATTTGTACAACAAAAAATAAGGTTGCATGTATTTGCATTCAGACCAAAACAACACTTTGAACCAGCTAATATATATATATATGTTACAGAAAAGCTGTAGACAAAGTATCATAATTTTCCTTCTACTTATGCTATTTTTTAGTTGGTCCATCACATAAAATACCCAAAAGTGCATGCATTTTCTAATTGTAATGTTAGAGAATTTGAGTGTGATGAATACTTCTGAATGCACTGTTAATTCTAGGTTTAATGTCAGCAAATATAAGCATCATCTGACATTTTCTAACATCAATTCTGCATTGCAGTCTAAGAACATAACAAAATGTATGAAAGATCTGAACCAAATGAAGCCTTTTGTCTGAATTGTCATTTTGCTGCCATGGTGCTTGAAACCAGACAGTTTCAGGGCTTAATTTCTTTATCCTGCTGAATGTGTGTACAGATCAGTAGGTCAGGAGGACAGAAAGGCAGTAACACACATTATTCCCACTCTCATCTGCTGACTTGACTACCTCATGACAGTCTGCAGCATCACCTCAGCACACACTACCCTGCCTCCTTGCTCAAACTAGAGTCTGCTGCATAGCAGATGTCTTGAATGCTCTTTCTGTCAGATTTTGTAAACTACCAACTACTTGCTGTTCACAATTTATAAAAACAGTTAACTAAATGAAAGGCCAAATGTAACAAAAAACAAGGCACATTTTTTTGTTGTTGATATTTTTCAGTGTTTTAGGAAGAAACAATAGCTAAAAACGCAGCATGTCCACTTTGAAATTTTGCATTTGCTAAATGGCTCCCTCTTCTCACTCCAGAGTAAATGTCCTGTTGATCCAGTGGATAACTCAGGAAGAACTGCTCTGCATCATGCTGGTAGGTAACTCAGCAGCCTGAGAGTTAATTATACAGAGGAACCTTTATATAGACTTGGTCTGAATGTGGGAATGTTTCTTGGAGGATTAACTTTAAGCTGTAATTTCATTTGGATAAAATTCATCCTCCATAATTGGAATTAAATGATACAGAGTTTCTTTTCATTTGATCCTCAGCTGCTGGTGGGAACGTCCAGATTGTTCAGCTGCTGTGTGAACTCAAAACCTCCATCAACCAAAAAGATATAGTATGTATTTTATGACCTCCTCTGCTCTATCTAACCCTCACTTTCTTTTTCTTTCCAACAGAATTAAAATGTGATGTGACACTGTCATCACATTTGCTACTTTCTAGCTAGAGAATGGTTTAAGATCTTAGTAAGTGCATTGGATCCAATTCCCTTTAATTAAATGAAAATAGGTCTGGAAAACCTAGAACATATTTGTATTTTAACAGTTGATCAAACCAAAAAATGGAAATCCATCTTTGCTTTGTGTCTCATCAAAGGAATTGGATCCCTAGGGGCAATGTGACGGGGCAGGAAAATGCATAGTTCTGAAACTGCAACTGGTGAAAAACTTTGGTGCATACCTCGGTAGTGCTAACAGGCGCTCTCCTACGGTGCGCCTCTTTGTTCATTTCTAGACTATGTTCAGAGAAAGAAAACATTGACATATGTAAATTAGCTGCAGTGTGCTTCACTAGAAGGGAGCCTCGTCAGCCAACATTTCCTCTCATTTGTCATCTGTTTGAAGATTAATTTCTGTGTGTGTGCTTAAGGTAGAAGGTCAGAGTTCTGTGGGAACTTATGGTGCAGACATGTGGTCTCCATTGCAGTGACAGACCATGTCTGTGGTTTTTATCCAGCTGGGAAGTGAAACCATGAAATGGCATGTGTGTTTGTGTATGTGTTTAAATGAGAGATGGGGGGAAAACAAGTTGATTTCCATTTTATTATGCTCTTTTCTGGTTTGTTTGACATAAACTCATAGTATATTATGACACCCACTTATCTGTCATTGAATTTAAATGTAAATTTGATCATTTATGTCCGGTTAAAGCAGATGTTAGCCATGGTTTTATACATAAAAGTTCTAAGTTTTATAAAAAAAACATAGTTCCTCTCTTTGTCACAACGATTCAGGACTTTGAGGTGAATTCATAGCAGGTATTTTTAAATAGAACTGTAATCTTGCTATAAGGATTACATGCAGACGTAAGTCTAGTAAAACTGCTAGCAATTAATCATTAGCCTTCACTAAAATTTGTTTTTCGAAGGCAGCCATATTTCTACTTCTGTCTTCTGTTAAAAACCAAGAGAAATCATAACGTCATGTTCGCTGAAGATCATTTACTTTTCCAGCCATAATTATCTGCAAATGTGTATGAGCAGTTTGAGCCTCCCTGTCTGCTGTTAGTGCTGGTGAACCGGTCATCTGGAATACAAAGTTTTTAATGCTGAACAGAACATGCCAGCTCTTTGGCCTGGGGCATACGTCACAGCTGTATCATATTGCTGTACCTGGATTTGACTTTAATGAACACACAGTGCAAAGTGAAATGAAACAGAGAAACATCTGGCCAGTCATACATATTTGAAAAGCAACTGCATAAGTTAAACAAACAGAAACATTAATCGTTCTTTGTCAAATTCAGTTGATGAAACTATATTTTAAGGCTTCTTTAGCTTTATAGCTTTTTAATAGAGTGTATAATAACATCTAGTTTGCCTTTAGAGGTAATTTATAAACCTCAGCATTAGTATGAAAAACGCAATCTGTGTTTGGGATTTTATGTTGCACCTGCACTAAGCTGTACTACCTTCATTTGCACAACTAGTTTTTATGTATGATGGCCTATGTTTTTGTGTTTCTTGAAGACATTTTTCCTCTCATCCAAAACCCTTTTTCAGGTATAATTGCTGTTCATAGGATAGGAACCTATAGTTTCTAATTAGAAACATATGGAGTACTCATTTAATGTATGCTAATCATGTGTCACATGGTCAGTATTGTAAATGATATTCCTCGTGGAATAGTGCAGAATGTTTTTTTACTGCCAGTACTTTGTAGTTTATTGGTATTTACTATCTAGCAATGATTCAGTGTGAGGTTAAAGGTCTTGTCAATTTGGGGGTTGAATGACAGAGTGGCAAACTAAATAAAACATTACTGACTTATGGAAATATGTTAAAGGGATATTCTGCAATTTAAAAAAAACAGATTATCTCTTACTGGATTTATGAAAGCCTAACTTCATGTGAGAAACAGAAAAAAGAAACCTTTTAAGAAGTCTGAAACTCTTACAAATTAGATTCCGTTAAAATGATCAAACGCCAAAATGTTCATAGCATTTCTTGAGGGAATAGCACAGCATAAAAATCATTTTAATAGTTGTCCTGAATCCAGATCAAGTTAAGCTTTGAGGTAAGCATTTTTAAAGCCTCAGAAACTGATCCAGTGTTCAGTTACTGCCTCTATTTCTCTCATCGGCTTCCTTAAGCTTTACACTTTTGCCCAAATGTGGGTAATTTGTCAGAGAGAATGCCTCCAAGTTATGAACATAACTAAACTTACACATCTAGGCCAAATAACACACCTGTATAGTCATACACACACACACGCACACACACACACTTAATCTGTTGCCCAGAAAAGGACAAAATAATTTTTGCCGTTTGGTTTCCAAAGTAGCTGCAACACAATCTGGGCAGAGCCGACAGGCCTGCTAAAGTCTTTAACAGAGCTCCAAAAAAACCCGAACATAGTTTTGTCCTCTTTGGTTTGTGGAAACAGCAGCAGCCTTGTAATATAAAACACCCAACTATGCTGACGTGGTTTGCTGTTTCATGTAGTTCCTTTGCTTGTTGGTCTGGGCCTCTTTTTGAAAATCATGTTTCAGGGTTATTAGAAATTGCCATTGGAAGGATAGTTATTCAGATATTTTGGTTTTGGAACTCTTCATGTGTGGATAAGAGTTTTTTTTTTGTTGTTGTTTTTAAATAGAACTTGGTGAAACATTTGTGATTCTAGACTCCATTTTACAAACATAGGAAACCAGCTTTCTTCAAATTTTGTAGTGTTGATAAATAAAATATGTATCCAATCCAAAGTGGGCGCTATCTTCCACAATCTAGTCTGTTGAAGATAGCCAGAAAAAATTGTTGAGATATTCAAATATGTCAGAAATCTTGCCTCTTTTAACCATGTTGGCCTCTACGTGTGAGTAAAAACAACCATTCAGCACAGGGCTATATTTAAATGGTAGATTGGGGTTAGAATCTGTCAGTCCAGGTGAAAAAGGTGCTACAATTTATGAAATACTGCTGCTGTTAGTCAGCTCTGACAGCTGTGTGTTAAATTCTGCAGAACCCACTCATTAAAGTTGCAGCTTTGCCATTTTGGAAGTTTCTCCCTACAAGGATTGACATGTTATTGAGAGACATATGGTATTCATTGAAAAATACCCAGCAGCTAATGACTAAATTACTATTTCTATACAACCACATAGAGGACTAATTAAAAGTTTAATACACCTAACTATTTACTATTTAGTACAACTCTTTTCTGTCCTTTGCTAGACAAAATAATAGAAAAATTACTCTTTGTTTTGTGAAAAATATGTACATTCCTGAGCTTATGAACTAGTCTTTGTTCTAATAATTTCAGGATATGCTAATTCAAATAATAACACAAAAGTTTAAGGTGTCAAAATTTAAGGTTGAACAATGTCCAGACCATTAAAGAAAACAGAACATTTGACATGCAATTTCTGTGATATTCATTTACAACAATAGGTCACATTGATTCTTTTTCACATAGCTCTAAGTTTTCTCACCACACAGACAGTTGACATGCTCATGACAAAGATCACAGCTTTGCGTTGTGCACAGTGGTTTATAGATGTCTGTGTTTAGCAGTTGAAATCTATAATATGTTGAGTACAACAAGGTTCAATGTTTACAATGTTTGTCTGTATCGAAGGATGGCCTCACTCCCTTGATGCTGTCAGCCAAACACGGTCATCCTGAGGTGTGCAGCACTCTGGTAGACTGTGGTGCTGAAATCAACACTCCTGACAACTGTGGCAGGTAAAGAAATAATAACACTCACTTGGAAGCAGCTATGTCCATTTTCTTGGACATAGCTGGATGTTTTCATTTGTATTTACAAGGTCTGTCCATGTTGTAGGACTGCTTTGATGCTTGCAGCTGAATCCAACGCAGTAGCTGCGGTAGAGGTTTTAGCTCAGAAGGGAGCAGACCTGTCCGCTGTAGATTCAGATGGCCATGATGTTGTACACTATACCAAGATGTTGGGCAGCTCTGAAGCCAAGACTGCCCTCTTGGCTGCTCTGAACAGACATCCACTTTTGGGTAAGACTTAAAATTAAATCGACTTTTCACAGAAAAATACACAGGCAGTGTAAATACAGTATTTCAACTACAATTTTTAATTTAACCTGCCTTAATTGGTATTTTACTTTAAATAAAACCAAAATTTAGGTTTCAAGCAAGATCAGGAAACAGATTTTTGCAAAGGTTTCAACAATATAGTAACACTGCCATCTACTGTTATACTGTTGTTACTGTTAGTGTTTCTAGTATGATTTATTGAAGTGTTCGCTTAAACTTTTAGCTCTGGATGCCAGAACTCTGAAATTTTTGACCCCAGCCCCTGGTTACGCAAATAAGCATTTTTAATAAGCCAAGTATACATGGGCATAATGTCGACAAAAACATCCTCATCTGTAGAGGATCTCACTGTCCTATGCTTTGTGACTTCTCTACATACTGCACTTTCTGCTCATGTTTTCAAAATGCTCATTTGTTGTTTTTATTGACCCCCCTGACAGATTCCAAGTCTCCAAGAAGTCCTCAGGTAAAATATCTGTGACATTTAACGTCTGCTCAGCTACACTACAAAGCTACTAAAATATTTGAACGTGCATAATTATCAAGCACAAGTGATAATCTGCTTGCTCTAACCTACCTCGAAACACTTCAGTGCTACACTGATTATGACTTTCTTATAAATGAAATTTTAAAGCTTACAGAATTGTTGTGCGATTGTAGAGCTTATATTTACATCTGAATTAAGGGTGTAACTTTGTGTTGCAAGCTGGTGGGGAGGAGGAGGAGCGTGGAGGTTTCTAATGGTTATGCTACTTCCTATTTGATGATTGCTCTGAATATTGCCATGTTCTACAAAGAAATGATGCAATGATGTTCTGGGAAAATGTAGAAAAACAGGCGGCTCCATTATTTTTCTTCTCAGTCATTAAGGTGAGCTTAATGTTAAGGTCACCGTGCATAACCCGTTGCCATGGCAGCCAATACACAGCCCTGTAAGCCCAGAGCAAAGATTACGTTCAAGTGCACGAGGAATTAAAACTAAAAAAAAAAACAACACAAAAACATTTCCCACACAAAAAAAGTAAAAGCACCAAACAGAGATTTATGTTTTTTAATTTTCATTTTGCGATCATTAGGAAGGAACACTCACAATGGTTGAAAAGTTAACTTAAATACCTGCAGTGCCAGAAAATGTAGGTTACCTTATTTTTGTGTTAATTGAACCGAAATACTCCGAACTGCACAGCAGCAGCACATGTTAAGCTAGCATAGATAACCGACTCCCCACTTCCTTTATAATTAAATCTTTTTACTGACCTGTCAAATGTGATCCCTTTGGACCTCGTTATCTAGCAGGATTGACAATATCAAAACTACTCGTTCCTTTTTCAGATTCTTTGCTTGATTGTGTCATTTCCACCTCACTGATATTCCTGATTGAATGTAAAACAATGGCGCATGTAAGGCACTGCCGCTCACAGTAAGTCCAATCCACTAGATCAGTGAGCGAACTTGCCATTTACGTTTTACAAAGCATTAACTGCTTGTTAATGCTTTGAATACAGCGCACAGCTGCTGCCGAGTTACTGTCTGCACACAGATGCAGACACATAAAGAATAAAAAGAAGGAAATATTGGTGGGGACTGCCCCCATCAGGCTAAGGTTGGTGGGTATGTCCACACCTGTCCTTCAGGAAGTTACGCCTATAAATATGTAAGTTTCACTTTCTGAAATGAGTGACAAAAAAAATGCATCGCCTCCTGATTTTTCAGAATGAAACTTAAAACGTGTTTGACCATTCTTCTACTAACCAGCACTGAATCCCACCTCTGATTTTTCTTTCTCCTTTTGTCAATATCTGTCTGATTCTCCTACTGGCTTCTTAGCATGATCAGGTAGCTAAGCTAAGTGATGAGCGGATCACAACTCCCAAAAAACGAAAAGCACCTCCACCTCCTAATAGCCCACTGCAGGTAAATGCATGTCTTTCTGTGCATGTCTGAAGTGAATTAATAAAATAAATAATGAATTACTGTCATTGATTTGTTGTTGTGTTTCCTGTTCTGTCCCCCTTTCTGTTTTCTCAAAGCAATCCAGCTTGTTGTTGTTTTATTTGTGTTGCTACTGCCCATCATATTAGAAAAACTAGTTATTAATGATGAAAATTAATTTTCAGCCCAGCTTAGAGCTTCTCTAAAACTCAGATGGTTTTATACAGTTAGTAGAAATGAATCCTAAATGTATGTATCTGATCGTCCTTCAGAGTTCTGGACCCTCCTCTCCTTCTGCTGTTACTCCTACCAGCACTCCTGCTTCCAACAAAGGTGACACTCCAAAGAGATTTAACTACAAGGTAGGGCTAAACTGAAAAGGTTGTGCTAAGAACTTTCTGTTTTTTTAATTTATTGTTTAATGCCATCAAAGTTATTTGTACCTCTTCAACATTTCACATTTTCTCAGTCTATTTGATTTGAAATTTATGTAAAAAATCAACACCAAGTATCAGATATCTGTGAAGCAGGAGGAAATTAAGCCTGGCAAAAGTTTTTCCATTTGTCTGTTCCCCTTCTTTGCCACAACCCTTCACTTCTGTCTCCTCCCCACATTGCAAAGGAGGACGAGTTTACAGGATTACCACTGAAAGAGGTTGAGAAGCTCCATGAAGAGAGAAACATGTTGCTGGAGACAATCAAAGACCTGAAGCAAACGGTGGAGACGGTGACCGTTCCTCAAATGGAGGTGAGGGTAATAATGATTAACAAACGGACTGTGTGGGGCGAGTTTACTTTGCTTCTGGGCAGCTTGTTGGGTGAATGAGACTGTAAGAGCTAAACAAAGAATGACATCATTGCAGCTCCAATAATACACAGTGTAGAGAACTACAAACACACACTGAATGTTTATTAAACCATACACTTGGCAGCTATATCTCGTAATGCCTTCTAACTGGATCAAGAATTTTCATTGAGTTTTAAGAATATTTTGACATTATTCACCACATCAAATGACTTTTTGACATAAACTGTTTTAAAGATAACCTTCAAAAAACAATCCTAGTTAATTTGTTTTTGTCATTTTTGTTTCATTTGAAGTTATTGTTCTAAGTTTAGTATGTTTCCGACTTATCCGCCTTCTTAAAAGGAGGTCTAAGCTAAGCTTACAACATGTCACAACTTGTGTTGTTTTCCTGACGATACCTGGAGGTCCCTAATGCTACCTTTATGCGTCTCTTTGGCATGTGAATATATGTGTTTGTTGGCAGGTCGAGCACACAGCGTCTGCAGCTCTGGTTTCTGCTCTGCAAGCCAGGATTACTGCGCTTACTTTGGAAAACCAGGAGCTTGCAAACAAACTGAAGGTATGTGTGTCTTTGTTGCTTACTTCCATGTTTAAGTGGTAAAGCCTGAATAGATTCACCAAATTTACTCAGTTTTAAAGTGTATGATGTCACTGTATTTATAGGTAGAGAATAACGAAAGCAGCCACAAAGTAGCATAACCAAACGAATTGCTCAAGATCCTTCAAACCAGCCCTAAAAAGGAATTTTGTAACATGAAAGATTTGGTTGTTAAAATACCTATAGGTTATAGAAAAAATGTTAAATCCATCAAAAGCAATGGATATGTATATGTATGGAGCCAAAATATCTTTAAAGTTAGGGTAAGGATTAAGGTAAGCATTTGTTGGTAAACATTTAAATTGAAAGGGAAACTTTGATAACTTTTGATGGCCTCAAGAGAGACACATTTTCTGAATTATTCTCTGAATAAATTTATGAAATAACTGGAATTTCTTCTGTCATTTTTGCAAACTGCCCAGCTTGTTCATCTTAGAAAGAAATGTTTGAACAAGTTATTTTTCCCAATTTCTGAAAAGTGTTTTCAAACTTTTCCCTACTCAATTATTTATGTTTATCGAACCTTTCCAGTTTGGAAAAAAAAACATGTATAACATTAAAAGTCTTGTATAATTTTTCTTTCTCAAGACTTTCAATGTTTTTGACAAAACCGAATATTCAAAAAGCATTTTGTGCATTTGTATTGATCCTTCTGAGTTTAATACAATTTAGAACCACTAAACTCAGACTCTACTCTACACAACCATTCCATTGTAGTTTTGGCTATATGTCAGGTTTTTCTGGCCATACAGATTTTCTTACAGGATTTCTATTCATCAGGATGATGTGCAGTGTTGTTGTTCTGTCACACATAGGCCCAAGGGTAAAACTAGGAGATATCCTGTTGACAGATTCTCCCACCTGATGGTTTCACATCTCTTCAAGAGTTATCTTAGGCCTTTTGGCTGCTTCTTTGTCTGCTTTGTCACTCTAAATAGGTTGCCATGTTTAGGCTTGCAATAATCTTTCCTGTGTTGGATGGTGAATTGAACACATTTCTGGTAGATGTCCAAAGCTTTGGATATTGTAACCTAACCCATAAACAGCTCCACGTTCTGCTGAATGTGTGAAATTTGTTAATGATTCTGTTTGTTCGTTGATGTTCCCCAGCAAAACCCCATAGCTTTCACTGAACATCTCTATTGTTTCTGATTTTACATTATGCAGAGTGGAATTTTACCAACTAGATACTCAGCCTGATGAGCAACAAGAGCTGATTATAAAATCTACACTGCAGATGTATTATTTTCCTTCCACTTCACAATTTGGTGATTCTCTAAAGTCCACAACCACAAACTCTTTTGAGTTTGTGGAAAAACTGTTCAGAAGGGATAAACAGTAAAATGTTGCACACCCGAGGTGAATCTGAATACTCCACAGTCACTGAAATCCCCCCAAAGAAACTGCACAGTTTGATCTGTGCTTCACCTGAGTGATTTGAAGGAGATTTTTAAAGAAATTTGAAATGATGTTCATTAAAAATAAAAATAAAAAAACACCATCTAGTCTTTTTAGCATGGGTTTTGAAAGACACTTTAATGGTTTACACGAGCCTGGTGTTGCTTCTGAACATGAGAAGACTCAGCAAATCAGGTTTCACTACTGTTTTTAATGCTTTACATAACATGTAATGTGTTCATTTAACAATGCATTATGCATTAGTATTTATTAGTTTATTTGTTTTTTTTACTTTTTAAAATTTTATTCATTTGCCATTTTATTTTACAATATACTTTGATTTGAATCAAAAATCAAACTTTTCTGCTTAAAGTTTAACAGTTTTGGTTATACAAAATAAATAAGTAATTCCTGAAAATGCTTCAGATAATACTTGCAATACAATTATTAACTTTCCTTTTCAGTTTACAAAACAATATATCTAAAAATCCATGATAATAATTAAAAAAAATTCCCCAAAGAGATTAGAATAAATAATAATCATAACTTTTTACTCTTATGTTCTCTCAACACACAGAGACTTCCTTCCCTACCAGGAAATGAGCTAACGGAGAACAGTCGTCCGGACAGCATGGCCTCCAACTCCTCCTTCCATTCCACACAGGATGAGTTTCATTCACCGGCACAAGTAGCCTCTACAACTCAGGTGGAAGAGGGAGAGCATCCCATTAAACTACAGGAAGAGGGGGGTGAAGGTGGGAGCCAGGAGGAAATCAGGATTTTGAAACAAGCACTTGAAAGCCTTCAAATAAAGCTGCTTGAAACCAAGAAAGAATACTGCTTGCTTCAGGCTCAGCTGAACTCTGACAGACAGAGACAAAGAGATGAGGATGGAAGTGTTGGAGAGAAAAAAAGGGAGGAAGAGTTGATGGAAAGTTTAGCAGAGCTGCAGGCAAAACTGACAGACACTCAAGAGAGATACCATCAAGCTATGGAGGAAGTGGAGGATCTGAAAGCACAGATGGGAAGGGGAGAAGAAGAGTTCACAGAGAAACTAGAGGTGAAGAAACTGGAACACGAGATAAAACAACTGAAGGGCGGCTTGTCCAGTTGGAGTCAGAAAAAGATGAAACGGCTCAGCGAATCAGACCGATGGAAGAAGCGCTGCAGAGGACGGAGGAGGAGAGGCGGACAGCAAAGGAAAAAGAACAGAGATCGGCGCAGATCGAAGAGCTTTACAAGGAGGCACAAGAGGAAGTCAGAGTGCTCCAGGTAAAAACAAGATCTACAAAGTAGAAAAAAGAAAGAGGTCAATTGTCTTATTTTAATTTTTAATGTAATTTTTTTCAAGTTACATAAACTGTGCCATTATCTCAGTTTGCAATCTCCTAATTGCTGTTGCATAGGAGGCCCTGAAGGGAACGGTCCCCGTCGAAGCCGCAGCCAAAGACTTTGAGGAGATGAAGTCTGATTTAAATGAGGTCATTGCTGGCCAGCAACAGCGCTTGCTGGAGCTGTCACACTCCTACAGTGAAACCAAAAGCCAGCTGATTGCCGCTCAGAAAGAACTGGCCGAAGCCCGAGCTGAGAAACCCTCAGCCTCAGCCGACTCTTCAGAGCAACAAGTCCAGATGCTGAGCAGTAAAGTGGAGGAGCTGCAGACTTTGCTCGCTGAGACTGAGAGGAAGCTTTCTGCTGCTCAAGAGGACATCACACGGCTGAGGCAGGAGGCCGAGGCTCAGACACAGAGCTCTGTGACCCTCACCGACCACACACAGGTTGTGTCATCTCTGGGAAATGCCATCAAGGAGCTGGAAAGTGACTTGGAAACCCTCAGAGAACAGCTGCATCAAAAGACAACACAAGTGGAGGCTTTTCAAAAGAGGTACGGAGAGAAACGTTAAAAAAAAGGAGGGGAGGTAAAAAATTATTTTAACTGCTATGCGCCACACTAACCAGTTAGAAATACATCAGACTATCCCTTTAAGATGGTCTTCCAAAACAAGGTTTTGATTGCTATGCATAATCTACCAACTGAAGAAGCACATGAAGCCTGATTAATTTTCTTGTATTTCTGTGTCACACAGGCTGAATGCAGAGCAAGACGTTACTTCGGAAGATGCAGTTCCCCGCCTGGAACATGAGACCATGCGGGAGCAGCTGGAGAGTGAGGTGAACCATCTGACACAGCTCCTTCAGGCAGCCTTAAGGAAGCAGGATGAGATGGCTCTGGAAGCAGCGGACGCCTGGCAGAAGGTAGCAGGAAAAGAAACAAAGACATCCACATGAGAGCATTCATTGTGCCTCCATGCTTTCCTGATATAACTTCTCATGTTGAACTTGTCCCTTTCTTCCATCCTTTAGGCCCGAGATAATCGTGCAGAGAGGGAAGCTCTGCAGGAGCTCTTGATGTCACGGGAGAAAGAGAACCAGACTCTGACCTCCAAACTTGCTGAGGCACAGGATGCGGTGTGTCAACTCAAGCAGCTGGTAGAAAATCACGTGGCATCAGAAAGAGAAAAGAACAAGAGGGTCAGTAATTATCTGTTTATCTGAACCATCTGCTTCAGAAAATCAGTTCAAAGAAAGCTTAATCAGAAACTATAAAAGTAAGAATTAACTATTGGAAGTTTCTGTTATCTTATGCTAGATTTCCTTTAGCTGCATATGTAGTTAAACAAAGCTCAATCAGAACACTTTTTAGCTTCTTTGTTGCTTTATAATGTTTATTGTTATATAAGTTTTTGCTTTTTTTCCATCTTCAGATAGATGACTTGTCTCGTGAAGTAGGCAAACTAAAGGAAGCCCTGAACAGCCTATCACAGCTCTCCTACACTTCCTGCTCCCCGTCCAAGAGGCAACAGCAAAACCAGCAGATGGAGACGCTTCAGCAACAGCTAAAGCAACTTCAGTACCAGCTAGCTGTAAGATTCATTTTAAATCATACGTATCAAGTCACCATCAATCCTAATATTTGTTCCTGTGGCGTAGCTGACCTACGTTTTTACCTTGTGTTGCCTCTGAAGGAATCAAAGAAGCAGCATGATGAAATAGTGTCAGTCTACAGGATGCATCTTCTCTATGCGGTTCAGGTAAATCAGTTAATATTTTTAATTTTTAATAATTGCACCCAGTGCCTGCAATCTTTCAAATCAGTTTTCAAAAATCTGGATTATTCAATATCCATTAAACAATGTTGACATTTTGGCATAATGTAGAATTTGATTGAAATATTGAAATGCATTTGAGTATGGAAATTAGTTGGCTACTTAGCTTACTTACATCCATAATTTATTTAAATTAATAGTTAGGGAAAAGGCATTGAGAAATTTTAACCTGGAATTTTTTACATGAAAACTGTGAAGAAATATTTGTGGTAACATTTAGACCTCAAAAGGTTGTTAAGCTGCAGTATTGTAGAAAAGGTCACACGATTCTTTGGAGTTTTGATACTTTAAAACTTTAAAATAAGTTAACCAGTTAACAACGGAGCTTGTGCTGTCTCTCTCAGGGTCAGATGGACGAGGACGTCCAGAAAGCTTTGAAGCAGATATTGAAGATGTGCAAGGCGCCAAGTCAAGCCAAGGAGGCCTGCTAAGAGTCAGCTGGGAGTCTCCACAAAAGCACATTTATTTTTAGTTTGAACACACATTGTGCCTGTTTATAAGCCCAGAGTATTTGCTTATAAGGAGTTGGTTTACAAGTATGTGTTTATTGCCTTTGCTAAGGTCATTTTGAACCTTTAAAGCCCTCTGCTCCACATACATGAAAGTTTTTTCTGTCAATGGATGACTCGCCTGGGAAAGCACACCCATCAGAAGCCACATGTGAAAGGAATTCAGCCAGGTGTTAGTCTGTAAAGAATAGGCATCAGTTGCAAAAATAAAGTATTCAACTATTTTTTCCAAGCAACCCTTGATGTCTTTTAAAATTTATTCTGCCAGGTTCCCGCATTTAGAAAGATTTCTTTTGAATCCCAATTGTATACAAAAGTAAAACTGGATGGAGCAGCCCCCATATGCAGACCGGTTCAAAGCAGGTGCAAATAGTAGCATTAAGGTTGTAAACACAGATGTGGAAGAAAAACTGTGTAAACTGCTGTTTACAAACTGATCTTCAAAGCTGCCAAATAAAAGCATGAATAAGGATTTTGAGCAATAATAATAGATACAGAAAGGGTCTGGTTGTGCTAAAACCATCGATTTGGGTTTTTAAATGTGTCTTCAGTGTGACACAAACAATGCTAGAATGTAGAAACAGCCTCACTGACATTTTTACTATCAGAAGTCCCACGTTTTTATAAAATAATTTGCTCATATCTGTCCAAATTGCAGAATTTACATTATTAGGCAGCCTGAACAATTAATGGAGCTACACTGAAAAGAGTGAAAATGAAAGCATGTGTACCCTGTTTCAGTACTTACCTACAGAAAAAGCTCAATTCTTCCCAAAATAGTGACAAAAAAATGAAATACTTCCCAAGTTACTGTACTGTAACTGTATGAGGGTTGTACTTATGAGTTTTTCACGTGACTGATTTTATTTGTAACAAAGCACTATTTGTTGTAGTTGTTTCTAAACTGTAGATCTTTCTATTGTCATTCATATAATAGACTTTAACTGTTGTAGGAAAGAAAAACATTTCACTTGTGACAAATGCTCAACTGCGCATTTGATATTTATATGTTTTTATCTTGGTTTAGTTTCCATACTGTTTTGTCTTGTTTGCAGACTTTTTTTTTTTTACTTGAAAACCATTGAAAGCATGTTGGCTGGAAATGATTGGCTGAGTTCTGCCATGTGCCTGTAAATCATCAAACTTCTTTTTAACATCTCAATTATTTATTGACATTCACCCAATTTTATTTTGCAGTTCCCTTGTTTGAACCAACGATCATCTGTAGGTACACATTAAGTTCATTGTTTTCATTCTGCACTCCTTTGCCTTAGCACTGATCTTAGGGAGGCCACATTTCTACTGAAAAGCGTTTTGTCTGTTCAGTGACCGATTAGCACTGACATGATTTTGTTTGGGTGAGTCTCTCAGGTAACCTTTTACACCTGACTGAGATGTTTGACAGATCTTATATCTGAGATTGTAGGAGACAAACTTCTTGGCTTTATCCCTCACGTTTTGTACCAGGAAAGGGAAATCCGAGAAACTTTGTTGTTTGGTTTACTAACGGTTTTGTAGTGACAAGAAAAAAATTGTTTACCATCCACTTTATTAAATTTTAAAGATAAGCCGAGTTATTTTTCTGTGTCTGTTATATTTGCCACCTGTCATGGTTCAGATTAGTCAACTGATACTTGGAAGCAACATGAACATGCAGGATTTAATACAAGCTAAATGTAGCTTATATTACCATGGCTACTTTTTGAGTCACTGTCATTACTTTCTCAAACATGAAAACATTTGTGTACTGTCGACACACAAACCCCTCCGTGTGTGTCCCTTTCTTAAAATATATAACATTTTAAGAAAATTTAGATATTTCCCTTTCAGATTTGTTCTGTTCTTTATTTTTTTTGTCACTCTTAATTCTTTTTTGAAAGATTTAAAAGTGCAAATACTGAATTGAAAAAAAAATCTTTCATTGATAAAGGGGCAAAAAGCCATCCACATCCAGTAGCACCCCTGCACTAGGTCGTGTGGAAAATAAATTAATTTCCCACCTATATTCTTCATTTATTAGTTGTAAGTAGTCATAGCTACACCCATGAAGAAGATGAAGAAGGATAAATGTTTGAAAAAGCAACACCTTGATATAAAGAAATATAAGAACAGGTGATTAACTTAAACATTCATCCTGAATTTAAATCTTGGAATTGTGATGCATTTTTTTGAAACTACATGGTAACAACTCGACAGAAAGAAATTACAAAGTTATGTGCAAATATTGGTGTTTTAAAGACAAATAAAAAATAATAATATCATCATTACTACAAGATATAAAATTCAGGGAGAAGAAACTTTTTTAGATGAAATTGTTTTTTATTAATTAATGCCTATGAAATTTATTCTTTCGGTAGGTAATATATTTCAGGGTAAGGGACTTCCAGTAATAGTAGATAAAAATAGACAGAACACAAAAGCTTGTACACAAACCAGAAATCTTCCTTTAAGATAATTTGCTGGTTTGTCACTGAATGATCATCATTTTGTGAAATTATTTGCTGTGGATTGAGTAGACAGCACTTTCTCTCTAAGATTAGCAATATTTCCTAATTATGTGTCTTCAATAAAATTAAAACTACGTTGCAGGAAAGCTTCTCATACATGTAGATTTCTCCCCACCCCCATAAATTGCTTAAGTACATGTAACTGGTTACTACACACGTCTTTCTAAAAGGCAAAATAATCTTGTCAAAGTGGTCTTTCAGTAGTTTGAGATGCTTTCTGAGTGAAACGTTACCACGATTGCCACATTCTTCATTCTGTCTGTAGATCAGAATGAAGAGATTGATACCCGCCTTTTCAGTTTAGTCAAAGTGAAATTAATCTTAAGCAAAACTGAAGGACTCACAACACTTTTAGTCCAGAGTGGTACCCTGTATATGAAACCTTAAACCTGATACAGCAGAATGCCCCAGCCTGTAAAATGCCACCAGATGGCAGCACACACCAGGATGGATCTTTATGATGAGGTTTGTGCTCATGGACTTGAAAAAACAGAGAAAAGATGGCCTGTAAGACACAATATAGGGTGATAATTCTTGGAGTTGTAGAATTTCCTTCCCTCAGGAAGTTTATTAAAAATATATTGTACAAAATTTATGTTACTTTCTGCAAATCACAGCATAAAATAAGATTGCTGTATTTTGTGACCTGTGATCTCAACACTTTCTACAACTTAGAGGTTACCTGATTACTTTTCCAGACGTTACATGTAAGTAAAAAGAAGTAAGTTTACATTTAATTTCTTGTAAAATAATCTGTAAAAACCATAAAAATAAACTTTAAAATCCACAAAATCAGCCTTGAAGTTCTTCAAAGTCCTGTCATCAGAGCTTGTAACTTATGGAAGGACATTTACCTTCTGGGAATAAAACCTATAAATCTATTTACATTCTGTGATACCTTTTATGTTGCAAAAAGACGATGTAACATTGGAACTTCATAATTTCTGCAACGTAAAGGGTGTTAAAGGGTGAACTTATAAGTACCCTAAAGTAAAAATAGCACTCTTTAAATTTCAAATGGAGGTTCCAGGAGAGTAACTTTACAATTTGTGGAATATTAATTTGCAAGTTTTGAAAAGTATCCTAGCATAAAGTGACCAGTAATGCTTCAAGTAGTTTATAATCTCTAGGTACTAAGCATCATGTTCTATGAATGTGACCTCTGACTTTTGGATGCAAACCTTTAACTGTCAGAAAATACTTGATGATATTTGTATTACCACCAAATAAGAATATGTCGGATTTATAAAAAACTCCAGTGATTTTGCTTTGGCAGCTCATGGTAGGTAAACATCGCTCTGTTTTTTAAAAATGTGTCCCTTTGCCCATACATTTTCTTGATCATCTTCCAAAAGCGATGGAAGAAATGAAGAAATGTGCCCTTCTGAGTTTCAAACACTCTGGATAGAAAACTAATCACATGCATTGTTTGTTTTCCTGTTTGGTTAGGCTCACCGTAGCGCATGTCAGCACTTGGTTCTCCCTCTGCGTCCACTCAGCGTTGCCTCTCAGAAGTGCTGCCAACTTGGTTTTGAGTCATTTATCTTCCGCTCTGCTTCCTGCTAACCAGTGGCACAACCACGTTGTTTCCTGTCTTGGCTGTGTGTGTTTTGCCTGCTGGGCAAATACACACATACAGATATTCACACAAGAACACAGATAGCCTTTAGTCAACCACTTCCTGTCCACCTTTGCTTTCTCCCACATTCTGCCCTCGGACCTCTGGGGCGAGTGGAGGGTAAACCAATGCTGTGATCATAATCCAGAAACAGCCCACATTTGCTAAACATCCTGAGGTTAAAAGAAAAATCCAATTCTGGATTCTGAGTGTCAAGACGGTCAGTCTAAATAACTCACAACTTGTTAGGTATAATTTTTTTTTTAATCTATTACTTCTTAAAAACAATTAAGAGATGATCAAAAAAAGATACAATGCTTTCCTTCTTTTTAGTATTTGAGATGAAACATGTCTTACTTCTCTTAGTGTTTAGAATATTATTGGATTTTGGTCTTATAATGACTAATGATGACTGCCAATCAATGAGCTAAATAATTTGTAGAACTGCAGATCATAGGCTGGATTAAGCCAGACCCACCAGTAAAAATAAATTAAATGGGTGCAAAGAGAGAATTCCCTTCCTTTGTAATCTGAACATCTGAACATGCGATAGTCAGACATCAGTAGCATAAACACAAGACAAAGACGTAATGATTAAGTCAAAGGAAAGAAGACCTACATAGCATGAGATAATGTTGTTGCCAAGAGAAATACTACATCGAAACGTAAGTAGCTGATGAGAAGAGAAGAGAGAGTGCATAGGTTAAAATTACTGCGTGGGTGACTAATTCCCCACTGACACACTCTTGAAGCTGCGTATGTAAACATGCTCCTGTTTCCAGGATTATGTGGGGACAACAACAAAGTGGAGAACCTATGGCTTTGGAGTGAGTTAAATTAGCAGCAGGAAGAGAAGCTGTCCAGCTGCCACTTGTTAGAAAACATTCTTTTCTTTACTTTTTGCACACTTTAGCAAGCCATATATCTCTGACTGATTATGGTTTGTGTGCTTGGTAAATATTGTTGAATAGTCTCCTGCTAACGTGCGTCATAGGCCTTGTGCTTGCTCCATGTGTGCTGTTGGCTTAAAAAACCTATTTAAGGGCTGGTATTTACATTTGCTACTTGTGTGGTTACATTTTATGGCTCAGGTTAATTAAGCATTTCTGAATATTTTTACCGCATATTTAGAAATCTAACCTGACAATTACTTAGCAGAGATCTCATTCAGAATTACATTATTGGTTTACTGAACAGTCGACTCACTGTGTCTGATAAAAGTATTCATATCTCTTCAACTTTACAACATTTTTCCATGTTACTTTGAGTCTTCGAGAGTTGATTCACCTTCAGGTTTTTGCCATTTCCCTTTCATCGTCTTTAGCAAACTTAATAATGATTTTCTTCTTGCAAATCTTCCAATTTTGTGGTCCAACCATCTGAGCTCTGCATCACTGTAGCTCCTCTTGCTACAATTAGCCTCGTGATTGCTTCTCTCATTAATTCTCTCCCTAGGTGGGCATCCTTGTTCTGCTAGATTTAGAGTTGTGAAACAATCCTTCTATTTTGTTTTTTTATTTTGAAAGCTGGAATTATTGTTTGTTAATGTTCTCTGAAACATCTCTGAGACACTGAAGGTTCCTCCTATCCCAGAACTTTGATTAAGTTAAAGGTCACTTTTAAAGCTTATTGGTAAATTTTTCCTAACCTCAAAATGACCTACCAGAATTTGCAAGTTACTGGTTTCAAATCGTGGAGGAAGCCATTTGCTGTTTTCATTGAATTTAAAGTTTACCCTCTGAAAATAAGAGGTTACCTTTCCAGAACTTATAGGGTACCCCTCCTTGAAATTATAAGGTAGCTTTCAAGCCATGATGTTGAGTGTCTAAATAGGCCAGACTCATTGTCTTTCAGGATATTTTTTGTTCATAATTTTTGAAAGTAGTCTAGATTTTAAAGTTATTTATTGAGTAAATAAAAACTATGTGAGAATATTTTGAATTTTGCCAATTTTTTTGTATGCTGTGAATAAAACCTTTACTAACTTTTGACCAAAACGTTTTAGTGACCCGGAACACTCACCTTAACCCAGATACACGCTGCTGTCACCTCCACTCTTCTGTTTGTCAGATCCCAAAGAACCCCCCTTGATGCTGCCTTGAAAATATCCACAGAAACAAAATCTATGAGATAGTTTTATTTGACTCTCTAGTGCAACACAAGCTGAAGTGGAAAAGTTAAAGGAGTTGAATGGCGAAGTCTTCACTCTTCATAGTAATAAGAACATGAGAAATATATTTAATATATAAATGAAGAGAATATATTTAATGCTTGAAACCAACTTCTGATGCTGTAGTCAAATGCAAACATTTGGGCATTTTGCATGTAATATAAAAAAATTAAGAACATGATCCTTTAAATCTTAACTGTATGTTTTCAATTATTAAAATGAATAATTGTTTTACTATGTCAAAGTTTTGGTGTCTTTATCTGATTATTTTAAGTGAT